GCGGGCGCCTCGCTCGCAGCGGCCCGTATCGCAGCGGGCCGGCTCGGAACCGTAGCGTGGTGATTGCAACGACCATAATGCCCGTGTCACTCGGTGTCCACGCTGCTTTGGTGTTTTGGGGCTGTGTTTGGGTGCACCACGGTGGGCTTAGAGGCCAACACAGGAAATAAAGGTCAAATTCTCCCCTCGGTTTCACCTGGGGTGCTCAAGGGGACTGTACAAGTGCTATCTCTTGGGTCACCGTCATTCCCGTGTGATCAAGTGCAGAGACGACTAACCAGATACCCATCCGTGCGCGCCAGTCGCTCATCCAAGGAGCGTGGATACAGTTTACTGTTTACCTAGCAACTGGAACATGCGAGATATTTTACAGCCAGAATAACTCCGGTTCGTGCTCCCAAAAGATTAGAGCCTGGTCAGGACAGGAAAATCCCCGTGACTCTCCTCAAGGGACCGTTGCCATCAAATTCATGAAAGTTTAAGTGTTTACGCATCAAATGCTAAAGAAAGCAAGAGATAAATAGGGGAATGATGCAATGAAGTGATAGGAATAAGGTTAGAGAAAGAAAGGAATCTGTGGAATTAGCTTACGGGTTTTATGAACACCTTTCAGTAAGGTGTAGGGTAGCAGCTCAGAAACATCCTTTTTTTCTTGTAACATTATGCTTTGGGGGCTCAACTGAGGCAGAGATAAACATGAAAAATATTTGAAAGGGGCTGACCCTAGGGAATGGATATTTTTTTCCTATGAAATGAAACAAGTGAATATTCTGTCATTTTGTGAGCTCCTTGTGACAGTCGGGTCCCTGCCCTCGTGATGGTTTGTGGCCCCCTCGCCCCGCTAGCCGTGCTCTGGAGCGCTGCTGTGGCCGCTAAAGATCGCGGATGGCCCGCGGCGAGGTCCCCGCTCGCGGAGCAGCAGCCAAAATAGCCCTGTCACTTTGAATAGCCAGAGTCTGGTGGCGAAACGATGTGAGTGCTTCAGTTAAATGAACTGAATTATAAAACAACTGTTAACATTTTACATCGTATTTGAATAGCTTACGGTTAGCATTTTAAATACACAATGTCTACTTTACTCAGATAAACTGGATAAGCAAGGCACCCTGGCTAGTCTGTAGTTACATGCAACTAGGTAAATACACTCAAATAAATGGTTTGTCTTCAGTTGAGTTCATAAAAATTAGAATGTTTCTGCCTAAAAAACTCTCCTCAGAGCATTCTGAGTAGGTTCGTGTGTCTTTTGGACCAGACTTTCTTGCATGTTTTCACTGTATTTAAGGACAAGTTAAGAAATTTGGCAGTTGGCATGTGAACTGTTTCTTTTTTCTTCTTTTTTAAAAAAATATTTTGATAGTTTATATAGGAAAGAAGGGAAGTCTGGAAAGCATTAGAACCAAAGATATTGTACGAATTTTATGCCCCATATAGCACTATTGATTGGAACTGAGCTAAAAAATGGGAAGGAGTTTTGGAAACAGGATTTTAAAAAGCTTATTCCAGGTCTTTTGCTGATGATAAAGGCTTATATGAAAACCTGCTAAGTAAAAACCTTGAGAGAGCAGTGTCTTAGCAGTAAAGGTGACTGAAAATAATAAAAAAAAATACTGGAATTACTTGACAGCAATCACACCAAAGAATTGGGACTGTGTGTAATTACTTGTTTTGTGCCAGCCACAGATACAATTAATGAATTAATGGTTACAGAACACTGCCGTGTGCTTATGGATTCACAGCTGGGTTTAAAGGACTCACAGAGCGTAAATGTATTTTCCTTGATCTGAAAAATATGATTTGCAGCCCCTGGTAAAGTTCACAAGAGCCCCTACTATGGGGCTCCTCCTTGGATCCAAAGGATTGTTAGGGACAACAGTCGTATGGTCTGGAGACTACAGAGCAAATCCAGCACGGGGATTTCTGAGAGCTGGTCCTGCCAGGCTCTGCAGCGTCTGGCACTGGCTTCTGAGAGTTGTCCTTTCACAGAAAGTGAGATGGCCCTGGATTCCCTAGGGATCTGTCTGTTCCTGGAGGGATGACTGCAAGTTTGAGAGGAGCCCTGTGCCAAGGCAGCCAGGGCTGTTTCCCATCTGCCACAGGATTTGTGCCTGGAACCAGAGGAAGGGAGAGATCACCAGGGTCATGGAGCTAATTTATCTCCTTTGATCTTTTTAGGTCCAGCTATTTTGTGAAGTTGGAAGGAATTAGCAGATACTTCAGGTTAATCGCTGGAGATAGATAACATGCTTCTTCACACTGCATATAGTTCTGTTTGCTGTTCGTTATTACTTTATATATATATACACGACTGTGACACCTGGTGATTTCAGTGGGATATACACAAGACCACTCAAACTTCGATCCTCTAAAGGGTTTACAAACGCTCTCCTTTCTCAACTTCCCTGTTTCCTCTAGAAGCTCCTACTGCTCCTACTGCACCTACTGGATGGTGCTTTTTCAAAGATGTGTTTCTGTGATTTAATTTAGTTAAAATAAGATTTTACTGTCTTGTTATTTCTGCTTTTGGAACCTGGTGTCCTAGTTGCTACTGGTCTAAGGTCTGTTTTAATTAGATGAGTGCTCATCATATACTGTAGACTTAATATTTTTAGCTAAATATTAACAATAATATACTGTTCCATACATATTGAAATGGAAACAGGAAGTTTTATTGTTTCACTGATTTCTACCTGACACCAGACCTAGATTCTGTCAATGCTGGAGATAAAATTTCACAGCCTGTGTTACAGGGCAGTGAGTAAGTGAACCAGAGTGGTACCAGCTGTGGTTCCTGAGCTGCAGGTGGCTCCTGGGCTGCCTCTGCTATATAAGGAGCAGCAGAGGGACTATCCAGGCTGCTGAGTGGTCCAAGTCCTCGCTTCATGAGGAGTAAGGCCTCACAAAAGCAGCCAGGAGCTTCTGTGGAGGCCAAAGTCATGGGATCACCTTTGGTGCCAGGTCAGCTCTGTTCTGTCCTGCAGTGTTGTGGGATCTTGGGGGAAACACCATAGCTGCCTGTTTGTGAGTAAATCCAAAAGTTTTGCTTTGCTCAGCTACCCGGCATCTGTGATGTGCCTCTTGTGGCTCTTATGGATGAGCTTAATGAGAGTTAAAAGGAGAGGAAGGCTGATGTGCTCCATAATGGGGAATTGAGCCCAGAGCTCTTAAAATTGCAAGTTTTTTCTTCCAACCTCTCTTCATCTTCATGTGACTTTCGCTTTCCGTATTTCAATTGCTCTCTACCTAAGGTGCCTTTTCTTTGTATTTTACTGTTCTAACAAGCCTAGTTTCTTTCTTCTGACATCCCATTTCTTTCTTCTTCTGTCTCCTTCTGGTCCTTTGCGGTGTTCTTCCAGCTTTTGAGTCGTATCGGTGTTTCCTCCTAGTGTATTCTGTTGGAACAAGTATTTTTCATCATATGGAAAACTAAAACATGTATTCTTATTCTATGTTTTCAGTTCCTAGTGGAATAAGCTTTTGTCAGAGTTTTATGTGTGGTATTAGGTGCAGAATGCATTTCATGATCTAAATAACAAGCATAGATTTTACAGGGGATGTAGTGATAACTCAGAAGATGTTATATAAACAGCTGGCCTCCGTTTTGAATCTATAAACAGAAATACAGAGATTTTGCTTAAAATTAGTTGTATGTGTTCTGCCTTATCACTGTTTGTTCAGGGTCAAATACCAAATTATAAGTAACACTTATTAAATTAAGATTATCATTGGATTACAGTTTTTGTTTTGCTGGTGTCTTATGTTGCTATTGCTTCAGATTTGATGAGGAACAATAGAAATATTCTGAACAAAACAAGTCCAGCCTGAAGATGGGATTAGCAGTAGTGAGGCTAGTGAGAAAGTACTGTGCTCAGCTTGGCCCTAGGCTGGAAGCTGGCTTCTCATCTGCTACTTCTCAACTCCTCTGTACTTTCTCAAGTCTAATTAATCAACTGTTATGTGGGTGAAGCTATTTCTACACGGGCTTCAGATCTCCACAAAGGTCTGGCTTTGCCAAGTTGCATGAAGCATTTTTCCTGCAGAAGCAGGAGTCTGGCAGCCTCTGAAATACCTGGGCTAGAGAAGAAATAAAGGTATTTATTATTATTATTATTACTACTGTAGTTGCACACCTAGCATGCTCAAGCCAGTGAGAGACAAGAGAGGCGGCAGGAGGAAATGGCTTTTTTTATTGTTTTTTAACCTAAGTTGAGAGAGGTGCTTAACAGTTGTTGAGGTGCTCAGTTGAACAAAAAATGACTTCATATCTTTTTAACTCTTGACAAGTAGGATAAAGTATAGCTATGGTATTAAATTTTCTTCTCCCTCACCCTTAAAAACATAGAAGAGTGTGTTCTGGACAAACAACCTGAGCCAATTAGTTCATGTAAGTTATATGCAAATATATTAGACCTTCTCATATGTAGCATATTGCATTATTTTGCAGTTGACAGACCACAATGTCCAAGTGGACCTCAGGCTGTATGAATAACTGTAGCA